GACCTCGCCAAACAAAAGTATGTTATCTGCGTATTCTAAACCAACAGTTAACCTCCTGATAGGTCAACTCAAAAGTTAGACAATGAAAGTGTTATCTCGAAAAGCATGTTTACAAAAAAAGTTGAATAAAAACTGGGTAAGTGGACAATCTTGACGAACGCCACCTGAAATAATCAATTAAGATGAGTTCGTCGTAAGCTCTGATTTGACCAGTGAAGTTTGAGTGGAGAACCCATGCAGGGTAATGTACTTTTTTGGTGATCCTTTCAGTGACAGACATTGTCACAGAATCTCACGACAGACAGAGTCAAACACCACCTTAAGGTCCATAAATACGAAAATTGTCGAAGATCGAAATGTGCCTATGCTCCAGGACTTGAAGAAGTGTGAATATACGGTCTATACACCCACGTCCAGGTCTGAAACCAGCCTGGTTTCCTCGAGGTTACTCTTCACGAGACTAACATCTTAGACACTATATGAGTTAGACTGATTCCTTTCTGATTATCGCAGGAGGACTTTAATCCTTTCTTATAGACTGAGCCGATTAGCGATTGAGACCAATCAGATAGGGTTACGTCCAGTTCCCAGATTCTACCTAAGATCTAAGTCAATCTAATTGCTAAAACTGGACCACCATCCTTAAAAATCTCAGGGCTTAACAACTCAGGACCTGCTGCTCTCCCTTTACCTAGATTGAATATAACCTCTTCAACCTGATTGGGAGCTAGAGGAATCACATCATCTTCCCATTCAGGTTGACTGAAAATTGTGGGTAACTGAAGTGTGGCCGCAAGACAGTTAAACTGCTCTCTAAAGTGTTCTGTCCATCGATCCGATCTCCTAGATTGAGAATAAATAGTAGTCCCATCCTTTTCCGAGAGTTGGCTTCCAAATACCAGTTTACTTGATAAGTATGAGTAGCTGTCTACTGTTATCTATTGCCACTGCCTTTTCCATCTCTTTCGTTTTCGCCACGCACCACTGTTCATGATCATCGCATAGGCTTTTTTATCAGCCTCCGCTCCTCATTGCATTTAGGGCAAGATGGGTGGGTTTCCGAGTATCTGTCAGTTTAGTAAATGATACTGAAATCCACTGGCACATATCACTGCTGTTTTCAAAGCTTTTGGGATATCATCCCAAGATGCCTCGGGGCAGGCATCACTTACATAATTCTCTAACTTTTCCCAGCTGCTCTTGAAATGTAATGTCGGCTTTTCTCATGATAAAATAGAACTTCAAGAGGTTTCCTTGCTACACCTTTCTTATGTCCACTGCTGGTACTAGAGCATAAGCCAAATCTAAACATGTGCTTCAGAATGAGCGGCGGTCTAAACGGAGCCTCTCCACCCATGACTGATAGCAATGTAGTCTAGTTAAGTCCAGCGTTGAGCCGATTCTGAGGGTCGCCAAGTTAAAAGGTGTTTTTTCATATGCTTAAAGTTGATGTTTGTAAGATACAGGCAGCTATCTGAGTATAGCTGCAACAGGCAGTCACTATTATCTGTTCGATCAGCCGCGACGTCATAAGATCCACCCAGGCATCTTTCCGTTTTGCCTAGTCTACCTACTTAAGCATTCAAGTCACTAGATACTATTACTACATCAAAACACTTAGCTTTTTGTGAAATTCATCTTTTATCTCATTCGAGCTGTAATCAGTAGGAGCGTAGGCAGAGACAACGACAAGTGTCCCCATCTTTCTAACTCCTTACTGTCCCGTTTAGTCGGACTGCGCATAAATGACTGTCTACCGGGATCCAGTCTAAGAGAGCTAGTTCTGCCCTAGGACTTAATACTACACCTAAACCAGCGAGGTCAGAGGAAGCAGCAACAAGGCATCCAGATTCACGAAGCGTAAATCGAGTGGATACTCTATTTGGACAAGGTGAAATCAAATGAATGATTTTACCAGGATCCTGTATGCGCGTTTCAGAGATGCGACACACATCGATGGCACCGCATTCCAGAGTCGTAGCTAATGAAGCCTGTTGCCTGATTTGAAACAATGTCCGGACACTAAAAGCTTGAATATGTAGTTTAGAGAGGGGTTTCAAGAGACCATGAATAACGTTTCGTGAGCTCTAAACGTTTGCATTAGTGGCGCAAAATGACAAAGGGACGAAAGATGGGTTAGTAGTGCAGATAAGAGAGTTATTTAGAGATGGAGAAAGAATTTGATCATTAAAAAGTTGATTTTGTGTGCTGTTAGGGGTATGAAGGTGTATGCCATTTTCCGCTTGTCCATATAGTGAAAGGGAATTTACTAAGGAGGCTGAAAAGGAAGTTGGGTTAGTGTTGGTCTCAGCGACCTGAGAACGAGACCGCAGAGCCCAAATCACAACTGCTTGAAGTTTGTTACATATGATTGTCTCATGGCAAGTTGTGAAGTGCTGGCTCCGCTCTTCAAAAATCCTTACCGCTGGAGAAGGAAATTCGAGGGTCAAGATGAGGAGTGACATTAGTGTGGTCGACATTTTGTAACACCCACCTTTTTTGTAAGAAGGCAGAGTCGCTGCAGATCCTGGCTGTCCAAGCGAGACATGTTACTACTATCACGCCCCTTTACAGTCAGCACTATAACGTCGCCCTCAGACCTTAAGTTGTTGCTCTTAGTCAACCGTTCTTCAATCGACCTGTCTGGCATGGTAGGATCTAAAGGAACATGTGTTCTAGGCAATCTAGTTCGTTTGGGTCATCATCACCATAGGCAAACCCGACCACCACTTTAAAATAGCAGTTACGGCAGGGAAATGTATTAGTGAATTCTGCCTTCAAGTAATTATGAGCTTCATAAACAATATTTCAAAAAATATACCATAATCAATACATTTAACCAAAACCTACGTTCCAATAACAATAACGAAGAAGGTATTAAAGTGAGTAAGCAGAAGCCACAGAGATTAATCCACGTATTCGTTTCCAAGCATGACAAAATTGTAACTTAAGTAAACAGTGAAAAGAACAAATATTTCTTAAACACTTTCCCTTTTAAGTAGAATATTTATTATAATTATTGTACACAGTTTTCCTTATTTAATTACTTTATAAGCGTTACTTCACTACTTTAAGGGCATCTGTTTATAGTGTATTAATTCATCCGTTACATGTGACAACCTAGTATATTAATTTTTACTTTATTGTTCAGTTGTCTACTCTTCGGAACTTTTTATGTGTGAAGTTGTAACCTTTGATTTTCAACAGATGGTTCATAAGTTAAAAGCTCACCCTATTTACTTAGCCTTGGAAAGTTAACTAGTATTAATAGCACACATATGTGCAGTTTGGCTCAAACGTAAAACCAAACTATAACTTTCAGTCGCTGCAACATATACAAGTTGGTTTTCCCTATTGTCATGAGTTATCATGGTCAAAATTAGTTACGTTGTAATCTCCTTTTAGTTCGTTAATACTAACCCTTCTACTATAGACAATAGTGATGCTTTCTTATCTCTTCGTTTCTCAATATTATGTTGTAGTGTGAGGCAACTTGAAATAACCCACTATTATGCAGTTTCAAACGTTTTTATATTCCATGATAAGTATGTGCTGATAGCTTATTTTATTTCCTTACTAATAGTCTAAGTAAGATATAACACTCATTTTCTGAATGCCAAACAAAACTCTGAAAACACCATTTCCTTTAAAGCCCTACATAATAGGCGTATACAACAATGCTTTTGGTCAGTATGCTCTTTTAGTTAATGAACATCAAATATTGTAGCGTTACATTAACTGATAAACACTGACTTCTTGAAATTACATATTTCACTTGGAAACATACCACCAGAGTAGATAGGATTGCCAAAGTAACTTCTGTGGTAAGTGTTAACACACATTACTTCTAAATGTCATACGCAACAGCAATGCAAAACGGTTTACGCCACGTTAGCATTTCACGAACGAAAAACGTGAAAAGCTTTTGTGATACGCCCTATAGTATTTAAGAGATTTCGTATTATCCCTTTTTATCTAACAGTGAAATACCATATACAAACGCTTAAGTGATATGGTCTTCACATGGCACTATCTGGTCAGTTAGCTACAACGTAGAACTTCGTTCGCACGTACATCATTTCAAATTGCCATACTACATTAGCACAGAGACGCAATTGTCGATTCAAATCCCATAGTGGTAGAGGTAGTAGAAGTATAAGCAGTAATAGCAAAGATTAGGGTTCGAAGATATTATTCAAAGAGTATAATCCAGTGAGATGAGTTATAGAAGAGAGAGATGAAGGTCGTGAAGGATTCAGAAGATCGGAATTTCGGGAAACACAAAGAATGGATGCATATGCGCCACCGCATGCGATTTTGAGCCATATCATTCAGAGTCTCTAACCATAGGTTACTATCATCCCGCGCATCCCAACCAGGTTGTCTACACCTACTGATATGGTTCAGTTCAGCTGTCAGTGACTTCAAGGATTAGTGCCACAGTAGCGATGTAAATTATGAAACAGTAATCTTTGACTCTTTTGGTTTCACTCCTGGGTTATGTAGTTACAACCAGCTTAAATTATTACCAAGAACGTAGTTTAATTGTAGAAAAATGGACTATTACCTGATCCTACACCTATGTCAATGACGCTCCGGGACTTAGGAAAAAAGACAGCCAGTCACAATCTGTGTTACAATCCATGTCAGTAACTGATCATTTAACTGAATATTAGATCTTAATGGTAGATAATAAAGCTATGGGTACTTATTCACAATCGACGACAGCAGATGGTAGAGTAGCTTTCTGTTGTATGTACGGTGAAATTGTGTAAGATTGTAATTCATGAGTAGCTCGAGAAATCGACGCTATGTCCATTAAATCGTTACTTTACTCCTACGACATTATAACTTGCCGATTTCGGATAGATATTTCGTTGTATTTTTCAGATCCAGTCAAAATTACAACTATACAAAAGTGGAATAAATAACTATATAAGTAGCATTATATATGTAGTCGATTAAACCAGGAAATATTAAAATTTTAAGACAGTACTCACCTGGTTGTAAACTAAAGGTATATTCACCCAGTCATACATGCATAGTTTATACAGTTTTTCCCAAAACTCTACTACCTGACTGATTAGTGCATCCACGTGTCTTTCTTCGCGTATCATATTTTCTTCGCGAGCTTTCGTAATCAGAGAAATGGCCCATACTAATGGTACGAAAAAGTTGCTGGTTGATTCTTCTAGATTGGAATAGATTTCTAGTTCTTGTTCCGTCATTAAGCCACATAAGACCAAACTATCAAGAGTGGGGAATCTTTGTTTCATACTCATAGATATTGAGTAAAAGCATAAAGCAGAAGCCAAATTGACGTAACGAGTAATGGTTCTTCTGAAGACTAACGCTCTTTCTTCGCCGTTTGCTAATTTTTTGTGGTCTTTGACACTCGGGTTTTCACTTAAATAGGTTGATAAAAGTAGGCATATTGCATCAGGAGTTGGTAAACAAAAGAATTGCTGTAACCATCGTGCAACTACCAAGTTCACATAAAATGCCAAAACAAAGGATAATGGGACTGCATTTGTTAGGCGCCCAGAGATGTAGCATATTTGGACAAAAAGTAGCCTAGCACTTCGAAATTCAGGTTTGTCTGGTATGGAGTGATAAGCGATCGCGACAACAGCGTAACAGACGCAATAAGCTATTAAACCGGGCCATACTAATTTATAAAGACTTCCACGCCATCGAAAAAGCAAACGGAAAAACGACCCATACTTGACGGTAGCTATAAGACTGCCGTAGCTGACAGTCATTGCGTGAGTTAAAGCATGATACTGATACGTGATGCAATGTGGCCTCAATATGACCTTGATATTAAAATCAAATCAATGTTCTGACTTTTGATTGGATGGTTTTCAAAATATACAAGTAGGCGTTACTTTCTACTCTGATTGGCTCATAGAGAATAATGTACACATTTCCGCTTTATTATGATGTTAGTGACTAAAACCAACTACTTGCAAATGAAATGGTTTAATTTTCTTCGTGGATTACTTTTGATATATTTTTGTTTCCCTAAAAGCTTTTCAGCTAATAATCTAAGCTGCTATGAGTGTGAGATAGTAGACAGGGAACGTAAAATGACTCTTTGGCCCTGTGATGAATCAAATGGACCATGGCAGAAACTAGATGGCTGCAAGGCTTGTATAAAAATTGAAGAAGTTCAAAGGATCGACTTTAGAAAACCTAGATGGGGACAACAATACCATGAAATAAAAACCATTTCTAGGTTATGTCTCAGAAAGTTTGAACCATCATTTTCAGATACATGCTTTCAGACCTATGGAAGTTCTTCAACACAAAAACGCTGTTACTGTTCTACTGATTACTGTAATTATCATTCAAAAACTTTATCAGTAAGCTTCAAAGCATTGTTTTCCGTATGCAGTTTTTCTCTCCTAATTTTATATGCTTGTTAATTATATTCTTTTACATACGCCGACCCATTTTTTACCAGTGTTGTTTAACTGTAAACTGATTCAATTGTAAACTGTATTGGATATCTACAAAAGATCATCATGCCGTCACAAATCAGGTTTAGTAATGCTCTCATACGACGTATTTGTATATTTCTCCCTCATGATGTCCTAATATATTGGATAATTTGTAATTTCCCTTTCTTACCGATGTTAGTTGCATTAAGTACATAAAATCACGATTTTATGCTTGTATATTTTTGCATACTATTTCACTCACAATATGAATAAATGGGAAGTAACTGAAATCTTTTTTGTTTAAATAGTTTCAAAAGTACTACTTATGATTGTTCATCCATTTTGAAAAAATACCTTTCTTTGTGTCACATTTTCATTATGATTGATGTAAAATTATTTGAAAACCTAACCTCAGTCCTCTGTAGTGCTTAATAAATACATGTCTTTTAATGGGTTTTTACCGTCTAAATGTAGTCCAATTCGCTTTACATTGACAGAATGTTTATTGATAGCTCAACTAACAGCAGATACGCAAACCACTTCTACTTACAGATTTTATTGGTTTTTATTTATGACGAGTTAAGCTAAAGATACAATTGGTTAACAAACAGAAGTTGTATTTCAAAAACGTACAATTTTAAATTCATGTTTAATAAATTCAAATGAATAAGTATCTAAGTTTTGTTTCGCTTAAAAATATGTTATTTTAGTTATATAAAATTCAGTTCAGATGTATACTATTTGATAAATTAATTACAATTAGTTAGATCAAATGTACTCACAAAACTATCTCGGAGTAAGTTATTATCAAGTGTATAAATCGATTCTAAGGAAATTTTATACAGATTTATAGATGCCCTGTCTAAAGTTGTGCTAGAAGTTAGGCTAAGTGGAAACTGAACTGGAAAATATGCACCACTGAATGAATAATTAAATCAACTAAATGCATTGTACTCATTGTAATTCTTGAAAATCTCAAGTTTTTTCAGGATCGCAAAAATTCTAAATTTTTTTAATGACAAAATTTCATTTACCGTGTTTTTCATCAAAGCTTATGTCTTGTGCTATATTTATCGATTAAAAATTTAAGCTGGAGGAAGTAATCAATAGGCATAAGGACATAGTGTTCATTTTACTTTAAAAACAGTTAAGAACAGAATTCAAGAAGCGAATTTCATTAAATTTTGAGACTCATCATTTTTAAAGGATTACATCGCACTCAAAGTTGTTGTATTGCTTTAAATGCTCAAATTAATACCTTAAAAATCCCACTGAAGTATTTACTGGTTTACTGAGTTATTAATAAACAGTTATTGTATGAACAACTTCAGTTGTTAATAGACTTTAATAATTGGGAGCAACGATTTACTATAGTGACTAGGTCTTTCCAGTGTTAGCATTCAAACTCATTATACATATATTATGGTGCATCTTGTTGTAATTTTTCATAATATTTGTTTGTTACTTTATCTTCTCTGGCGGATAACCTACAAAATCCAAATCTTACAACTGAGATTATATTCTAAGCTACAGTCTGTCTTATTTATTTCGGCATTATCATCCCAAGTATAAGAGTATCTTCATACCAAAAACAGCAACCTATTTATGTTGGGTGATATCAATTTACTTGAATGTTGTTATTAATAATTCGACCGGAAGAATATCTATTTAAATGACTGCAATGTGTAACTGTATATGATTTACCGATCATCATTCTGATCACCATATCATAATCGCAAGATATACTTAAAGTATGCCCGAAACTCTTTTTTTGTAATAATTCATTAAAAAAATATCTACCAGTAGATTTCAATAAAATAGCTTTGACATATGTATAATCCGGATACACTTTAGATTGATTTCTACAATATTTCTTACTAGTTTTAAGCTACAGGTTACAATATGGGGGCTTTCTTTTTAGGATTTATCAAGCTAAACGCGACTTAATTAATATTTTATTAGCTAATGTTGAACAATATTCTGTTCATCATGCGATAATTTAATACACCGAATATTATTGAATTTTAAAGTACATATTATTCAAATTTTTAAAAGCTTGTGGACCAATTATACTAAGTGGGGCCATATTAGAAACTGAAAAACGTAATCACCGCTATATAGTCCATTTTCGAACACTTCAGTACACATTATATTTCGATATCGGATAACTGTTATACCAAATATTTAGATTAAGAGGTTAGCTTTAGTTGACTGTTGAAAACTTTTTTCGTCCTGATGAGACTGAGGAAACTCGTCAAACCTTTTGTGGCTGTTCATTCTTCAGCTGAGTAAATGATGCCGAAACCTTTCCCGTTTATTAGAGGATGTTAGTTAAATGATAAGTAAAGGTTGTTAGGAATTTCGTGTTTATCATCTCAGAATGGGTGGACATTTACATGAATAGCTAGAAGAACAGGTTAACTCTTATGGTCCGTCCAATAAAACTATGCGAATAAAAACATCTTCTTCTATTTCGAAATTTTTGATGGAAACATATCATAGGACTAAGGTGGATAATAAGGTTAAGCATAGGAAAATTCTAGTCCCCTTGATCTGTTTCGAAGCAGTTTCTATTTACGTTAAATCCGCCCCGGAAATTTTGAATTCTCGACTTAATATCTATTCAAAGCACTGAAGAATTGGAATTAAGTATCTTGCTCAATAAGAGTAATGAGCATCCATCTCTCTGATTTTATCATCGCGATAATTAATTGTTGAGATTTCAATATTATTATTATTTTCACTATGTCTGCTTCTAAATGTTCTCCATACAATTTCCATCAATTTTTAACTAATTTTCATTCAAAACTAATTATTCACTGACACTTAACTGGTTTAAATCATAATGATAATACAAGGCTGTTTCCGAAAGGCCAGATTGCTACTTACATTTCTAAACAATATTAATAATTTTCAAAGGTTGTTCAAGTTGAAAGAAAAATTAAATTGAAGTTCTCATTGTCTTACTAAAATATAATTATGATCAATGAGAGTTTAATGCCCCAAAAAATAATTATTTTCTGGGTTCAATAAAGTCTTGACAATCGCTGATTTATTCTGGAAGAGTGAGATAAAAATGTTCGGCAAAAATATCGGCATAAATTAAACTATCGAAATTTATTGTATTTAGAATAAAGTTAGGTAGACATAAAGTTTCTCTTATCGAGTCTGACTAATTTGCTCTACAACTCTATTAAGCCTTAGATTACTTGATCTCGCTAACCCTAATGGAACATAGGTCGCCAACCAGCATTCTTCAACCAACTCCATCCTGAGCTCTGCTTTCCAGTTTTACCCATTTGCATTTAATTTTCTTCATGCCTGTCTCCAGTTCTCGACATACTATGTTCTTCAGTATACCTCTTCGCCTTTGTCCTTGAAGATTCCAAGTTAGGACTTGCCTCGCAATGCAGTTTGGAGATTCCCACAATGTGTATCATATGCACCCTCAGCACTGTGCTAATTTCTTCTTGAGCTGAAAGCTGGTTTGTTCTCTCCCACAGTAAGATTATCAATATAGACGTGAACAAAAGCGAAGTCTCGTACTATGCTATCGACAAACCTTTGGAAAGTTTGAGCAGCATTTTGTAATCCAAATGGCACTCGTAGGAACTCAAAAAGATCGAAAGGAGTCGTGATAGCAGTCTTCTTGATATCTTCAAGAGAGACTGGGATCTGATGATATGCTCGTACCAGATCAATCATAGAATAAATAGTCGTACCCTTAATAGATGCCGTGATGTCGTGTATGTGGGGGATGGAATAGCTATCGAAACGTGTTACTACGTTTAATGCTCGATAGTCACCAAATGGTCGCCAACTTATCCCATCCTTTTAGCGAACCTTGTGGAGTTGTGAGGCCCAAGGACTGTGAGAAGGACGAGTAAATTGTCGAACTCACGTTTAGCGGAAGCTGATTAGTCCGGTGCCAGTCAGCGAGGTCTTTCCGTGACTGGTGGTCCGCGGGTGACGATGTGGTGTACCACATGATGAGTCACCGTTGGAATCTCCTCGAGTTGTTTAGTTAGCTGGGGAAGTTTCTCGAATAAAGCGTGGAAAATGTCATCACGCGAATGAAATACCCCTGTAATACGGTACGCACCTGTTTGAGCTCGAGAGCCCATAAATTTAATGTTCGACGAAGTATCGATTAGCTGCAGCCTACGTGTATCGACCAACGAATCATAGTGCTGTAGGAAATCAATTCCGAGTATGGCTGCGGTAACATCAACAATCGCTTCCGAAGCCGACTTTTGGGGTGGCTTGGAAGAAGGCCGCTAGGGGCGAGTACTTGCAGCCTTTCGTGATCAAGAGCGGGCTCGTGGGACGTGGGGTTCAGGAACAGAAGAACGATCTCGAAAATTGAGACGGCTGTGGATACAGCAACCCCGGTCTC